CCCTGAGCCGGTGAGATTTGAGCCGCTGAACTAGCAGTCAGCTGAACTGGCCTGCAGTACTGCACTCTACCCACTGCGCCACCTCAGCTCAATCTCTGTGGATGGAAGGCTGAGTCAACCCTGAGCCGGTGAGATTTGAACAGCCGAACTGCAGAACTGCAGTCAGCTGAAGTAGCCTGCAGTGCTGCACTCTAACCACTGCGCCACCTCAGCTCAATCTCTGTGGATGGAAGGCTGAGTCAACCCTGAGCCGGTGAGATTTGAACAGCCGAACTGCAGAACTGCAGTCAGCTGAAGTAGCCTGCAGTGCTGCACTCTAACCACTGCGCCACCTCGGCTCTATGATAAAGGAAGGGGAAGGGGAAGGGAGAGGAGGGGAGAGTGAAGGGAAGGGGAGGGGAGAGAAGGGGAAGGGAAGGAGCAAGGGAAAGGGGAAGGGTAGGGAAGAAGACTGAAAATAACAAAGCATAAAATAATGAATGTATTCCGTGTTGAAAACTAAATTAAATTGAAACTTGGGAAACCTCTATAGGTAAGATTAAAGTTACTTCCCTCAATCAATTCAACATTGTCCCCCACAATTATAATCTGAACACAGAAAAAACAGCCATGAGTCATTTCCCATCTTAACTCAAAATCTTTCTTGTGGCAATTCCACGCAAATAAAATTTGTTGAGTCTTGTGGATGCTTTTTAGGAGACTTGTCCGTTAATAAAACTAAACCCTGTTCTCATCTGATCAGCCCGAGCAGAAAATTAATAGGGTCACAATTAATTCAAAGCACTTTATGTGCTATAAAGGACAGTGCAATAGAAATGTGAAACGCTCTTGGTTTTTCTGTCTGGGCAAGGTCACAGATGATATTTTTTTGCAATGGTGTATTGTTAAAAGATCTCTCAAAGACCACTGATGGCAAAGCACTGAGACTGGTTAATGAAAATGCCGGACAGAAATGAAATTAATTAAAAAGGAAAGTCTATTAGAGAAATGACCACTATAGAAATAAGGGAGTTTGCTCCCATTTAGTGGCTGACCAGGTCATGGACTTTCTATTTAATAGCTAAGAGCTCTTTCTCTCTCTCTCTCAGTCCTTGACATCATCAAAAATTGGACTGATAGGTCATGATATTTTGAGTATGCTTTTCTTCCCAGAAAAAGTAAGTTTATCAACTAGGTTCAGCTGGACCAAAGAATCATCCAAAGAAGATAATCCAGCCAATAATCTGGTGAGCTCCTAAAAATCTAGCAATAGCAATAGCAGTTAGATTTATATACCGCTTCATAGGGCTTTCAGCCCTCTCTAAGCAGTTTACA